GCGCCGCCGCCCGCTCGCGGCCCCGGACCGGCGCTGGGCCCCGGGCCCGAGTCCCCGCCACCCCCGGACTCGCTCCCAAAGTCCGAGTTGATGGAATCGCAGTGTCGCTCGTACTCGCCCAGCACCGACATGGTGGCGGCCGCGGGACCGCCCTGCGTGTCCCGGGCGGCGCTGGCTGTGCTCAGACCCTGTCGCTTCAGACGCCGACCCGCGGCTCCGTCAGCCCCGCAACCCCGCGAGGCTCCATGGTGGCTCCGTCCCCTGACCCGGAAGCAGTTCTGGGTGCTTCCGGCCCGCCGGGGTTTTCTCTGCCCTCGCTGGCTCGCTTGCTTTGTCTAGGGGCCGCGGTTTCTCTCCCTCCGGGCGGGCCCGGAAAGTGAGCCCTGCGGCGGGGTTGGCGGGCGCGGGTGGGGACCGCGTGGAACCGAAGGGCTCAGGCAGAGGCAAGGGCGTCACCCACGGGTCTGTAGACCTTTCCCCCAATTTCTGGCCAGGTCCCCCAGACAGTTTCCAGGTCCCTAGGGTGTCCAGTCTCATCTTGGCTCCAGGTCCATCTCAAGAGCAGTGAGTGATTAGGGAAGCAGTCCCTTTCAGTTGGACAGCGCTATTTCTTTAGAGAGAGAGTATAATAAAGATATTATTTCTTGTTGTTAGTGACCTCCAGTCGGTCCTACTCTTAGCGACCCTGTGTACAGCAGAGCAGAACCCTGCCCGGTCTTTTTGCACCATTCTCTCACCCTCCAGCGCTATATCAGACAGTGCTCTCCTGCTGTTCATAGCGTTTTTGTGGCCAATTTTTTCACTCTTTCCTAGTCTGTCTGAGTCTGGAAGCTCTGCTGAAATCCTGTCCACCATGGGTAGCCCTGCTGGTATTTGAAATATTGGTGGCATAGCTTTCAGCATCACAGCAACATGCTGCTGATGAGAACCGACAGACTGGTGGTGTGGTTCCTTTACTGGGAAGCGAACCCTGGCCACAGTGGTGAGAGCTCCAAATCTTAACCACTAAAGGACCAGGGCTGGCTAGGGGAGGGAGGATCACTCCCATAAGATGCTCTCTGGCCTCAAGTCACTAAGAGAATTGCAATGCAGTGAAAAAACGTGTTCCATCAGTTATGTCACCTTGGGCAACATCACATCTCCAAGCTTGCTTTTTAATTGTAAAATTAGGGGAATGTGACCTACATCACAGAGATAACAGCTAACATTTATTCCGTGTTATGTTCCTGGCACTATACTGAAAGGTTTTCTTTCCATGTATCATCCCTCTTAATCCTCATATTATTCCCATTCTATAGAAGGAACTGAGATACAGAGAGGTCAACGTAACCTGCTTAATGTTACACAGCTACTAAGGGAAGCCAGGAGTCAAACTTAGCAATCTGGCTCCAGATCTTTTTCACAGAACAGGATGTGTTGGGGCTTAGAGAAGGTCATGTGGCTGGCCGCCAGGGTGTATGTAGGGTAGAAGCAGAAGACGGAGCCACAAATGTTTTATAGAGTTTGGCTTTTCCTGTGAGCAATGGAAAATTATTGGAGATTTTTAAGCAGGGGAGTGTATGATTAGTGTGACTGTATGTCCTGATTTGCTGGGGAAGTCTCCATTTACGCCTTTTTCCCCTAGCATAATTGAGAGCTTTCTTTTGCTTAAGTGCCCAGCTCAGACAATAAATGATATGGTCACCTTACTTAAGACCAAAGTTAAATTTTACAAAGAACTCTGATGACAATGTGGAGGACAAAGACTGGAGGCTGGGAGACCAGTTAGGAGGCAATTTATATTCTAAGAAAAGACGAGGCACTGAGGTACTATCAGTGTGAGTGGAAAGGAGGTCCAGATTTAGGAATCTGAGGAATATTTAGAACTTTGTGATCAGTTGGAATGTGGTTGGTGAGTTAAATGTGCAAGTCCAGGAGACTCACTACGTAGATAGTGATAGCAAATATAGGAGGAAAAGAATTGGTCGAATGGGGTGAGGGGTGTGAAGGCTAATGAGTTCCCATTGCTCTGACCTCTCTACAGTTCACCAACGTTCCTTTTAAAGGATGATATCCTACACTCTGCATAACATTCCAGGTCAGGTCTGAATAGGAGAGCACAAGGGGACTTGTCTCCCTTGATCTGGATCCAATATTTCTATTAGTGTGCCAGCCTTCATAATGATGGTCTGCTTATACCGAGCTCGCACTTAACTAAACTTTTTTCACATCCAATCTAATCCGAAGTAATACAGCTGTCCCACCAGATCACATCACTCCTTCTTTTCATCACAATGCTTAATAAAATACTGATGTCTTATTATGTTTACTTTATTGACTCTCTCATTCATCAGAATAAAAGCTCCAGGAGAGCCTGGATTTTACGCTCTAGTTCACAGCTACATATCATAAGTACCTGGAAAAGTGCTAGATATTATATGCTTAAAAATTATTTGTTGAATGAATATCAAGTCATTATTATCTCATATATATAACATTTTTAAAACCTCAGTGCAAGACTGACTGACTGATAACCCCTGTTAAACTTTATTTTGTTGGTTTCATTCCAGGGTTCTACATTATACAGATATTTTTGAATTTGCAATTCATTCATTCAACAAACACTGAGTACCAACTTGTGCCAGGTACTGGGTTACAACAGAGAACAAAACATGGTTCCTACTCTCATGGAGCTTACAGTCCATGTTAATAGACAACTAACCAGGCAATTATAACTGTATAACTGCTATTATAAGGAAAGTACAAGATTCTAGAAAGGCATTTAGGAGGGGCATCTTTCCAAGTCAAACTTGTTGGGCTAGTGAAGGCTCCCTGGAGGAATATCCAAAATGTTAAGTCGGTGATGGCTAAATAAAGCAGGGAGATCATTCCAGATAGAGGCCATTCCATCTACCTCCTCCTATTAATTAGAAGGCATTTTGAGAAGAGGTATTCCTTCTTATTTATCTGGGTCCACTCCAGAGTTTAGCTCAGCACATTAAACAAAATACATGTTCAATAAATGTTTTGTCGAGTTAAAAGAATGGAAAAAGTAATTACTTAAAATCAGAAGCTCTGACTTGCATTTAGTAAAGCTGTACAGGTTTCAGCCAAAGCTTAAAAATTCATTCTTTTGGCACTTTTGCAATGAGGAACTAAATAGCTTTCTGTAACTTGGTCAGCCTGATATTGTTAATTGTTCTAGTTATAATGCGTAGATATAAGCTTAACAGACAGATGTCCTGTTCCATCTTAGAGAATATAGAACAGAAACACTCATGCTCAGTTCTTTATTATACTGGATATAAATGAAACTAAACATCTGACCTTCGAATATTTACAAACCCAGAAACACTCAACATTCTAAACGTCTAACTGATTTTAAAGTGCCTTTGATCAAAAATAGATTATTTCCATGTTATATTTTAACAAGTGAATAGTTAGGATGCTATATAGCAGAAGTTTCCACTTGTGAATGGCAGATTCCCAGGGGCCACAGAGTTACTGTAAAGATTAAAGAATTTACCAAAGTACCAAGCAGCTGTCCAATCTGGTAGCCATAGCTACATATGGCTACTGAACACTTAAATTGTGGCTCATTTGAATGGAGATGTTCTGTAGCTGTAAAATGCACACTGGATTTCAAAGACTTTATATGAAAAAAAGAATGTAAAATATCTCATTAATCATTTTCATATTGACTACATGTTGAAATACTATTTTAGATGTATTAGACTAAATACATTACTAAAATTAATTTCACCTGTTTTTTACTTTTTTTAATGTAGTGCTAGAAAATTTAAAATTACACATGGGGCTCATGTTATGTGGGACACCACTGCAGCACTGAATAAATAATAATTTGCCAAACATGTACTACCATTTAGTAAGAATATGATACTGTTAAGACTATTAAATTTACGTTTTGTTGAATTCATTATTTATGTTCTCTAAAACATTAGTGAGAAATGACATTTTTAAAAAAATTTATTTATTCCCCCCCCAAAGCCCCAGTAGATAGTTGTATGTCACAGCTGCACATCCTTCTAGTTGCTGTATGTGGGATGCGACCTCAGCATGGCTGGAGAAGCGGTGCGTCGATGCGCGCCCGGGATCTGAACCCGGGCTGCCAGCAGCAGAGCGCGCGCACTTAACCGCTAAGCCACGGGGCCGGCCCAGAAATAAGACATTTTTGATGTCAAAATATTTATACTCAAATGTTGGGAACCACTACTTGATAGACTATAGATTCATTGACAAATTTATTATCTGGTTTTTTGAGGAAATGGAGGAGAGGGTAAATAAGAGGCTACCAGTGAATGTGCAAAGCACTTCAGGCTGACTGTTGGAAAGGGGCTTTATGAAAAACGTTCAACTGCAACTAAAAGGAAAGGAGAAAATGGCCTTTACCTGCTGGGACAGGGTTTTGCATAGATGTGATGGGCCAAAAAAGCAAATCTTGAGAGGTTCTAAATTGGGAGGGGTATTTTAAGAATGGAGGGCAAGGGAGAAGACCCTCTGCAGGAATAATACCAATAGCAGTTTCCAAAAGAGAGAAGCTTACAGAGAACGCCTGGCTTACAGAACCCTATTTGGTCTTTCTGAAGATGTATAATTCTTATTATTTTTATATACATATCATATATAATTCACATATTTTATATACAAAATATAATAAACTTTTACTAGCTCACAGAAACTTGATCCATCTAGAGTAAATAACACGATATTTTTCCTCTAATTCATCATGCATAATTTGCCATACTTTAAAGCCGAGGAAGGGCCGGGCCCGTGGCATAGCGGTTAAGTGCGTGTGTTCCGCTGCTGGCGGCCTGGGGTTCAGATCCTAGGCGCGCACCGATGCAGTGCTTGTCAGGCCATGCTGTGGTGGCGTCCCATATAACGTGGAGGAAGATGGGCACACATGTTAGCTCAGGGCCAGTCTTCCTCAGCAAAAAGAGGAGGATTGGCATGGATGTTAGCTCAGGGCTGATCTTCCTCACACACATCCCCAAAAAACTGAGGAATATGGAGGAATTATTGCCAATCCAGCCAAAGAAGTACTCAAGAGTAACAGAAAAATACAACTAAAACGGTTTCTGCTAGCCTTTATTTGAGAAAACTTACACAAAAATCCCCAATCCAACACTTAGAAGTGAATCCGTATAAATCCATGTGCCTCTTTCCACTACACAAACAGAAAAATGGCTTATGACAGGGGTTTCTGACAATGGTATAACAAAGCTTACTTAAACTGTATCATTCTCACCTATGTTACACAGACCGTGTTGAATAACAGGCTCAAAAACGAAGGAAAGCAGGTAACATCCTTGTTTTTAAAGCTGATTTGCTCTTGCACTAACTAGCCTTTTACCAAATGCAAATCATTTTACTTTTTAGATAAAATCAAGGTGTAATATCAATGAACTTTAAACCAAAAGCACAAATGTCCGAGTTGGTAGTTTTGGCATGAGTAAAAGGAAAGGACATGAAAAAGAATTTCAGTTTCACAAAGTCACATTTGGGAAGAAAAACATCAGCAAAATAAAATATTCTCCTGTCCTACCTTCTTGACATTTTGTCAGAACAAAAGACTATAACCAACTGAGTAGCTTTCATTGCTTCTAGAAAGTGGAAAGGCACCATTCAGAAATATGAAAGTGTATCTTGTTAGGATAATGGTACAAAATAGAATTTCACCTTTAAAAGTTTAAGGATGGACCTTAACCCACAAATTTGGTTATTCTCTTCCCTACCTGGGTACATCCTCTGTCGGTCAGAATACGTAGTACCACAGATAGGCTTGCTCAACATCTGCTGCCCTCAGGGCGAGGATTCAGCTGCTTGGTTCTCAGAACAGTACCTACCAGTTCTTAACAGCAGATGGCAATGTTGCATAAATTAATGAAAGAACCACTCTTAATGCCACACCAGAGGAATTATACAGGGAGTCAAAAGAAGGGGGAAAAAAAGGCTTCTGGGTTCCCAGTAGCTGGAACATTAACAGAACAGCCTGAGATTATAACAACATAACTCACTCCCTCTTCCACCTGTGTACCTTATCCAGGTCATCACAGCAGTGTTCTCTGTTAACTCCAGTATGCTGCCCAACTGCAAGCTGCATGGCCTTAAATCCTGTAATTCTTGCCAGTGCGATTAGCCAAGCCCTGTAACAGTCAGCAAGGCTAAAAAAGAGATTACAGAAAGGACAAACTGCTACCCACTTTCCTGGGAGAAGTGGGGAAAATTTCAAGTGATAGTATTTTTCAAACTGTTTACAAACATGGTCATTTGTATCTACACTTTCTCTTATTTACATTAGTATTGGCCTTTAGGCACCTCATATTCCCATAGCGATTCTTGGCTTTGCTTTGACAACATGTATTTTCAAGTATTTACTCTATTCATGATCTTCCCAGATGTGTTCTTTTTTATACCTCGTATGTCTTAATTTTCTAGATGGAACACGTAAGGACAGGAATTAAGTCAATGACCAGCCCTGTAAGAAGACCTGGTAAATTTTACTTATTTTTTTCTTGATAGAAGTTATGTTACAAATTCAAGCAACCACATATCTGACAAAGGACTTGTACTTAGGATATATCAAGAACTCTCAAAACTCAATAGTAAAAAGAACAGACAATCTAATTAGAAAATGGGCAAAGGGCATGAACAGATATTTCACCGAGGACGATACACAGATGGCAAATAAGCACATGAAAAGATGTTCAACATCAGTAGCCATTAGGAAAATGCAAATTAAAACCATAATGAGGTACCATTATGCTCGCCTATCAGAATGACTAAAATAAAAAATAATAATAATAGCAAATACTGGTGAGGATGCAGAGAAACTGGATCGGCCATACATTTCTGGTGGGAACGTAAAATGGCAGTCACTGGAAAAAGAGTAGGATGATTTCTTACAAAAATAAACATGTGCTTACCATACAACCCAGCAATTTCCCTATTGGGCACTTATCGCAGAGAAATGAAAATTTATGTTCACATAAAAACCTGTACATGAATGTTAACAACAGCTTTATTAGTAACGGCCAAAAACTGAAAACAACCCCAATGTCCTTCAATGGGTGAATGGTTAAACAAACTGGTACAACCAGACCATGAAATACTACTGAGCAAGAAAAAGGAACCAACTGTTGATACACCCAACAATTTGGATGGATTTCAAGTGAATTATGCTGAGTGAAAAAAGTCAATCTCAAAAGTTACATACTATATGATTCCATTTATATAACATTCTTGAAATGACAAAATTGGAGAAATGGAGAACAGATTAGTGGTTGCCAGAAGTTGGGGCTTGAGGGTAAAGAAGGGAGGTGGCGTGGCTATAAAAGGGGAGAAGGGAGGTGGAGTGGCTATAAAAGGGGAGCACAAGGGATTCGTTTGATGGAACTGTTCTGCATCTTGCGGTGGTGGTCTCACAAATCTACACAAGCGATAAAATTGCATAGAACTTACAATTACACTAAAAGAAAAAAGTTCAAGCAGTTGAGCACAAATATTTTAATTCTCTAAAATGAAATTTTCTTTAAGAGTTATGTACAGTTCAGAGCTCACTTCGATGAGGTGTCACATCCATCACCCTTTTAAGAGACATAAAATTATGAAAGGATATCACCAGAAGCTACCTAAACATTTCAGCTAAGGGTCAAGAGAAAGTTAGGGATGTTTCCACATGGAAATCCAAAGAGGACAATCAGAATGAAACAAGTTGTACATGGTCATACAAATCTTGATAAAGGAACTAGAGTGGAAGCCCAAGCTGGTGAGCAAGTGGGAGAAGAAAAGAAAATATGGTTCAAACAGATCACACGAGGAAACCCAGTACAAATGCTGGCTCTGGCACTATCTAGGTAACCCCTATTTTTTGTCATAGGTGACTCTAATAATAGTCCTGTTGTTGCAAAACCAGTCCAAATCCTACCAAGTTAAAAAGAAGTCCCTCATTGACTTGTTGGGTGTAGGCGGTAACCCATGTCCTCCCACACCAAGACATCAGTTCTGGCAAGAAAGCTCCAACGGGCCTCGATGGTGCTGTTGGTAGGATGTTTTAGGCCAGGCATGTCCCAGCGATGTTCTGCTGGCTGAGATACAAGGTGGGAGGAGACTAGGCCTTATTACTCAATCAGCTTCTTTGCCTTGAAGAAGCGACGCAGGTAGAAAACCTGCCAGGTGGCTAGTCCAATGAGGCAGAACATTGAAAAGATGCTGAAGTACAGGACCCGAGTATTTGTTGACTCTAAAAAAACAAAAGCGTTGTAAATGTAATGAAGTGAGGCTCAGCAGGCTAAACAACTGCCAGGGGGAAAAGGCAATTCATTAACTTCACTCTGATTTCAGATGGTTTTTTCTCAAGTTTTCATTATTCTATATATAAACATCAAAAATCACAAAGATTGGGGCCGGCCCGGTGTTGCAAGAGGTTAAGTGCGCATGCTCCGCTGCGGCAGCCGGGGTTCGCCAGTTCGGATCCTGGGTGCGCACCGACGAACCACTTGTCAGGCCATGCTGTGGCAGGCGGCCCATATAAAGTGGAGGAAGCTGGGCATGGATGTTAGCCCAGGGCCAGTCTTCCTCAGCAAAAAGAGGAGGATTGGCAGATCTTAGCTCAGGGCTGATCTTCCCCACACACACAAAAAAAATTACAAAGATTAGTACTATCAATTTGATACACTATAAACTAACTGCATATCACAGAAGAAATTGCTATTCCCTTGAAAATCTAACAAGGCTCATTTACCTGTAGCAGCAACAACACTGAAGCAAGCAATTATCTTTCCATACAACCCCCGCTTGGCAAAACTGAGAAAAGGGTACATCAGAATTTAAAGTTGGGAATCCGTCTCCCTTGTGCTTCACTTATTGAGAAACAAGAGCCGCCCTCCTCTCACCATTGGTATCCCGCATCTCTTCCTCTCGCTTCTTCATGTAGGCAAAATCATTCACGATGGACTCTGAAAGGTCTTCTAGGCGTCGTAACTCCACCTCTAAAGGTTTGAGCTTCTCAACTTTTGCAATCTGAAAAAGAAAGGAATTATGAACCCACTTCCCGAAAAAACTGCTCTGGTCAAGAACAAAAGACAAAAGAGGAGTCTTAAAAAGTTTCACCAAAATTAAAATCTCTTCTGTCATTATTCCAACATATTTTAAAATTTGGGCTTTTCCCCTTCCCTACAAACTGCTTATATATTTCCATCTCAGACTTTTTCTTTTTTTGGTGAGGAAGATTGGCCCTGAGCTAACATCTGTTGCCAATCTTCCTCTTTTTTTCCTTTTTTCCTCCCCAAAGCCCCAGTACACAATTATATATCCTAGTTGTGTGTCCTTCTGGTTCTTCTGATATGGGATGCCCTCCAGCACGACTTGATGATCAGTGCGTAAGTCCACGCTCAGGATCCGAACTCGCAAACCTGGTCCACTGACGTGGAGCACGTAAACTTAACCACTATACCACCAGGCTGGCCCCCTCAGACTTTAATACTTTAATTTTGATTAAAACCTCCTTACATTGCGGGCCAGCCTGGTGGTGTGGTGGTTAAGTTTGCACACTCTGCTTCGGTGGCCCGGGGTCCACAGGTTCGGATCCCGGGCACGGACCTACGCACTGCTCATCAAGCCATGCTGTGGCAGGTGTCCCACATATAAAAAGTAGAGGAAGATGGGCACGGATGTTGGCCCAGGGCCAATCTTCCTCAGGAAAAGGAGGAGGATTGGCATCAGACGTTAGCTCAGAGCTGATCATCCTCACAAAAAAAAAAAAAAACAAACCTCCTTACAAATACTTTAATATGATAGGCTGTAAAGTAAGATATACTATTTTCCCAAGATTTCTGACTTTAATAAAGCACTTTACTTTGGCTTTCCACTCGTGTCTAAGAAATAAACAACTCTATTAGAATAAGTGGTTTTTAAAAACATTTTAAGTCTCTAACAACAATGCTTTTTTGAGTGCTCACTATGTGCAAAGCACTAAGATAAATTATGATCTCTTCTCTTAAGAAGCTCACAGTCTGGTGGAGAGGCTCACATAAAGCTATAACCATAATACAATGCATTATGTATAAACTTCTACAACAAAGGTACACATTAAAAGTGAAACAGAAAGAGGGGCTGAAAGAAGTAGCATGAGATTGATTATAGTTGGAAGTTATAAGCTTAATGGGAAGTGGGTGAGTTGGGTCTCACAGGTTGTGCAGGATTTTGAAAGAGATGAGGGGGAAAGACATTCAAGGCTGAGAGGAACCTGCAAATCAAAAAATGGAGGGAAGAAAGTACAGGCCATATTTAGGAGACCATAAGTAGTCTAGTCATAAGCAGACTGATGTGCATGTGCGTGCCCGCACTAATGTGTCAACACACGTGTTTGGGGGAGGGTGGTGGTTACTAGCAAATATAAGCCTCAAAAGTTAGGCTGGAGCTGGGGCCAGCCTGGTGGTGCAGTGGTTGGGTGCATGTGCTCCGCTTCAGTGGCCTGGGGTTCACAGGTTCGGATCCCGGGCGCGTACCGACACACCGCTTGTCAAGCCATGCTGTGGTGGTATCCCATATAAAGTGGAGGAAGATGGGCACGGATGTTAGCCCAGGGCCAATCTTCCTCAGCAAAAAAAGAGGAGGATTGGCATCAGATGTTAGCTAAGAGCTGATATTCCTCACAAAAAAAAAAGAAAAAAAAAATGCTGGAGCTGAACTGAGGAAGAGGAAGAAGAAGGTAGTATAAAGAATTAGACCTATTACTATATCCTCAGAATGTGATATGTATTTTATATCTTGTAATCTCACTTAATCCTCATAACCCCATGTAAGGTGAATATTATTATCCCTAAATTTTTCAGATGAGGAAATTAGGCTTAGAGTGTTAAATAACTTGTCCAAGTTCTTCGAGCTTGGTAGAGCTGGGATTGGCATCCAAATGTGAGTTTGTATTTTATTCTGTAGGTATTAAAAATGTGATGACGAAAACCAGATGATGACACCTAAGTCTTTTCTGAATCAAAGGTGAAGTGAACCAGCTATAGTAGGCCACAAGGATCTGGGTAAGCTGTCCAATTTATTAGTCAAATTTCCTAGGTTTCATACTTCTATTATTCTAATTTTTACAGACTAATAGAATAAAATTTTAAAACAAATTATCATAAGTATTCTCAGGAAGACCCACTTCACTTGCCAGGACTAAGCATTCAGTGAATATCCAGACTATATATCATAGTACAAAAAGCTGACAAGAAAACCTCCAACAAAACCTCCGCTGACTGTTGTTCTGCTCTTCTAAACATCTGATGTTCAAAATGTCTGTAAGAATGTGAAATTATACAGGTTTCATGAAAGCAGGCCATATTCTGGTCTACTCTCTTCCATGGCTGGAAGGATGTGTGTGTTGCAAACAACTTGATAAAAAAGCAAAGCCTATTTGACAATGTGTACCATAGGATCTCCACTAGGGGGCAGCATTCCCCTTACAGGCTGCATTTAGCTGTTAAATAATCAAAGATAAGAACTACAGACTTCGTTTTATTTTACAAATGAGGAAACTGAAGATTCCATAAAGATACTCAGTCCTTTGGGTGGAAGACCAAGACTAGCAGAACCATGGTCTCTTGACTCCCTATCCAGGGTCACCAAAGCATTTTTTAGCATCAAAACCGCAAAGCTCTGCTGTAAAAGGCAAGCAAAACTGATTCCCTGACTTCCGAAAACATACACATTCAGCGTGTATAAATCCTATCTTTCAGGCCTTAACCATGAAGCCTCCTTTAACCACTCCTGTCCACAACGACTCCCTCTTCCGTAAAGCCCTAACTTAGACTGTGCCACACAATTAATACTCAATCATACATTGTTTTAATTTTCATCCTCTCCCCCACACTAATTCGGCCCTTGAACTCCAGAAAATTAAAATGATGTATACTTTGTATAGCCCCACATACCTGACACATGGCAAACACATAGCTGACCTGTCATGCCTGTTCTATGCCTTCTTCAATGGAGCCAACTTTCTCATAGCAGATAAGTGCTGCTGGTTCCCTGAAGCAAGTGCTTCCTGTAATGTTCTAAGAGCACTGTGCATCTACTTTCACTCAGAATTCATTTCCATGAGGCCCACTGCCTAGGAGCAAGTCCTCTCTACCACAGTATCTATCACTCTCACCTGTAGAGTAGGTGCTGTTTGGAAAAGCTAAAAGTTATAAAAGCCTTTCCCTGCATATTTACAACACCTCCAAAACAACTGCAAAATTACTCTTCTTAAACTATATCCAGGGTCAGCCCCGTGGCTTGGTGGTTAAGCACGCGCGCTGCGATGCTGGTGGCCCGGGTTCGGATCCCGGGTGCGCATCGAGGCACCGCTTCTCCGTTCATCCTGAGGCCGAGTCCCACATACAGCAACTAGAAGGATGTGCAGCTACGACATACAACTATCCACTGGGGCTTTGGGGGGAAAAAATAAATAAAATCTTTAAAAAAAAAAAAAAACTATATCCAAATCTTCCACTCCTCTAATGATGATTTGAATCTAAAGAGTTCAGAGTTTTATGTAACTGTACCAAGGAAAGGTGTTAACTCTGAAAAACTGCTTCTTAGAAGACATGTGAAACCAGCCTCTGCAGAATTGCTAGATTCTTTTCCTGGTGGAACACTGAGACTCAAGAAAGAAGCTTCTTGTGGTAAGCCAAATTCAGTCCAATTACTTTGTTATCTCCACGCCCCTCACCACAGCCCCTGCAAATTTTAGAAGCACAGCAACAGAAGTGGAGACCATCTAGTCTAACACAATCAAGATAAAGAAGACAGATCTACACCCAAGGACAAGACTACTTGTATGGGGGCGGGCGGGGTATGTGAATCACAAGCCTCTTCACAGAGGCCCAAAAGTTCAACAATGTGCCAAAATAAGTCCAGATAATACCGCCAATCTTAGAGCTAAATGAAATTTAGCAACATCCCATTTACTCTGTCATAGCCATTTGGCAGTTTCCAAAGAGGGTAGAAGGGAGCCAAAATCTACTGAACTGACCAACTATGTGTCAGGTGCCTCACCCATGTTATTTCATTTAACTTATGTCAAGAAAGGGATTTTGCACTAGTACATAGAACCAGAGTTCCTCCTTCCTGAGGGCATTTGGAGAAATAAAACTTTTGCAAAGTCTTTAGCTGTTGCTCCAACTAGGGCAACTGTGTTTTCGGTGTATCTGTTGATAGCAAATGACAGACTAATAGAACCTCTAGGCAAAAGAGGATTTTTAGTTGTGTTGAGAATGCTGACATCCACAGCAAGACGGGACATACACAGCCCACGAGTTAGAGGATGTGTCAGATAGCTCCTTCTCTGTGGGTCAGTAAATGCCTTCATTCTCACAACTGCAACATGAGACAGCAAGTCCCTGCCAACAGCTGCTCTAGTTCACAGACCACAAACTAAAAAGAAATGGTTCAACTCACATACTGATTCTACAAAGATGCCCCCCTCTGACAGGCAAAAGATAGTGATGAGAGGTCCTTAAAATATAACAGAGGGAATCAAAGGTGCTTTATTTCTGAGGACACAAGCATTCTTTCTCTTGTGTGTGTGTGTGTGTGTGTGTGTGTTTTTATATGTGTGAGGAAGATCAGCCCTGAGCTAACATCCATGCCAATGCTCCTCTTTTTGCTGAGGAAGACTGGCCCTGAGATAACATGCGTGCCCATCTTCCTCTACTTTATATGGGACACCACCACAGCATGGCCTGACAAGCAGTGCGTTGGTGCGCGCCTGGGATCCGAACCTGGGCCACTGGCAGTGGAGCGTGCACACTTAACCGCTACGCCCCAGCGCGGCCCCAGCATTCTTTCTCTTTAAAGAATTCAAACTACAAGACTCTCTGCTTCTTTACCATATGGCAACCATTCTGTCTTCCAAATAATATCATCTTACATTTGTATTGTGTTTACATAGCAAGTCCACATGCATTAACTAATTAAATCCTCCACAACAATTTAGTAGGTAGTGTGGTACTCTGCCCAGCTAATAAGATACTGATTACTACTGAATTTTACAGGACCCCCCGGGATTTCAGAATTACAAAGTCCACAAATGTGAGGGAGAGATATGTTGGATGTGAAGAAAATTAAACAAATGTGCCACCTTCCTGAATCTAAATACTGATGCCAAAGAGCCAAAATCCTCTGGAGACAAAGGCTCTCCATTACCTCAAAGGCCTGAAATTAAATGCCTCAAAACCTCTACATATGCTCAGTGCTCTCTGGTAATTAACCCAGGAACAAGTGCTTCCATTACCCATGTTCTTGTCACAGGCATTAGCCCAGAGACAACTAGCAGCTATTTCTAAGCAGAGTTCAAGGGAGCCTAGCCATAGGCTGAGAAAAGGGCTGGTCTTTGGCCTGTGTCATAACCACTTCTCCTCCTCTGTCTCAATTTGGTCTGCTTTTTTGGGGGGGGAACGGGGGTAGGTCACCAAAGAAAGTAGTGGGAGGAGTTTCTTGGTTAAGAAACAGAATTTAGTGCTGTGTTGTAACCATGTGCGTAAAGAAAAGCTTAGGACGTGCCTGACTTCCGAAGCAGGAAGTAGGCAAAGGAAGCGCTGTGGTTTCCTTTCTGCTAGGGATTCCCCTCTTGGGTTATGCAAAAGGTCAGGAAAGATAAAGGCTCTTTCCCGATGTTAACAAAGTCCAAGGATGATGGAAATTCCAGGAGGTATAGGGGTTCTAAAATGTTATACAACAGTGATGTCCACATCATTCTACACGTCAACTCACAATACCATCTGTTTGAGGAGAACAAGCTATGTCTCATGGCTAATCAAGTGCTCTGCTATTTAATACATACCACTTAATATAGCCATCATATTAGGGAAAAAAAGTTACTACTGGTAAAATTCCACAAAGTAGGAATTCAATGAATGCTTGCTTAGAGAATGGACTTAGGCTGATGATACAGCAGCAGTAATCAAAAACTGAAAATCATCTTACTGATTCTTCCACCTCATAACAACAACAACAACATTGTTCTTAGTGTTTTATACCTTACAACAGCACTTTAACATACCTTATCTTATTTAAATATAATTCAATTCTTCTGAATCATGAAAGTTTAAAAGGATTTTCCAATTTACTCTTAAGTCCATCAAATAAAGAGGCTCTCTTGCTTTATTTCTTGTAATTAAACTAGCCTGGAGACAGAAGCAAATCAAAGTCTCTACCAGGAATGTCTTCCATTCACTACTACCTCACTTGCTCCTGTTTATTGCCTGTTACAAATAATCTAGTTTTGCTCAACCGAACACTTGAACTAGGAAAAAGAGGAAAGACCTGAAGAGCTGCAACTGTTGTACTACTACTTCCTGCTGCAGAATTAGCCAGTCACTCCCAATCTTCTTCCATTTTAGGATATTTCCCTTCCAAGTCCCGAACCAAGACAGACCAACTTCTCCTGTCCCATCATTCCTAGAAAATTCCCTTGAATCACTTGAAACAACTTTCCTTTGTTTATCTAGTTTACATTCTTCAAAAGCCATTTACATTTCCTGTACCCTACCTCTTCTTCACACCCTCAGGTACTGCTGTAATGATCTGGGTAAAAACACTCTTATCTTTCTGCAAAGATCAATCCTCTAGTCTTAAATAGTTCTTGTGGTTTTTCAAAGGTGCTCTTCATTTGAAGAACCATTTTGTGCTGCCCCCAAAGTCTCTCCTTCTTCCCCTTATTCTATGCACACCTCCACCTCCCCAGCACCCAAATGTCAGTTTTTTTTCTCTATAGTAGTTCCTGTCAGCAAAAATTCCTATTCCTTATCACTATCCCTAGTCTCTTGCAGTTTTTTCTTCCATCTTGCTTTCTTCCTTAAAAGTTTGAAATTAAATTTTAACTGAAAGCTACTTTTGACTACTGTGTCTCTCAAAGACAGCACAAGTGTCCAAGTCTAAACAGCACTGCACCCATGCCCTAGATATATACATATAAAGCTGTCAGTCTGGGAATAAAAGCTTTAGGAATCAAAAACAAATCACTTTTCTTAACCTTGGACATTAACATATAAGTGAATTCCAGCTTTTATTTTTTTTATTTTTATTTATTTATTTTTTTTAAAAGATATGTTTTACCACCTCCTGAAAGGAATTCAGGTTTTTTTTTTTTTAAATAATTTTATTTATTTATTTATGTTTTTCCCCCAAAGCCCCAGTAGATAGTTGTATGTCATAGCTGCACATCCTTCTAGTTGCTGTATGTGGGACGCGGCCTCAGCATGGCCAGAGAAGCGGTGCGTCGGTGCGCGCCCGGGATCCGAACCCAGGCCGCCAGCAGCGGAGCGCGCGCACTTAACCGCTAAGCCACGGGGCCTGAATTCCAGCTTTTAAAAATTATAAATATGTATATATCTGGTTTCTGTCTCAAGAGCACTAATGCATATCTTTGAGTGTTTTATCACACCCACATTTCTATGGGACAGTTGGCTCAGTCATGTGGCTGACAGCACAGCCAGAATTATTGTTCAAGCTGTTAATACAACTTTTTGCATCAATAAGACTGTAGCTGGTTGTCACGTGACTGCTGAGAAAACCAGAGCCTCTGGGCAAAGCACAGCTGGTTGGCCTGACTAGGTCACAGAAACCTCATAACACAGCACGCCACTGCGTCCTCTGGCTCTTACAGCAGGACATACCTCCTCATAATTTTTCGCCTCCACTCCATGCTTCATGTCTAGGATCACAAGCTGGTCAGGTATCCGCCCTGTTCCTGAGAAATAAATCAAAGGATTCATTGTGCGGAATATTTAAAATTCCGGGAAATCACCCACCCACCCTCCCTCTCCCTAACCTCTACTCTCTCAATAGAGGGAAACAGCCGCAACACCTCCCCCTACTCGGCTGCAGAAAATTCCTGGCTCTGGCTAAAATCACAAGCATTCCAGACAAAGCCTCTATCTGTGTGGGGTGCCGGAAAGCAACAAGAACATGCTGCTGGCAAACATCTCTGAGCAGGCAGGACACAAGACACTGCATCTGGTACTACAGAGGAATAGAACAGGAGAAGAGAAAACACAGAGGCTTATCGGATTAGGAAATAAAACTCCCAAGTCAAAACAGTATAAAATCAAGAGGCATATAGATCAATAGGTAGTGGGCACCAACTTAGGCTGAAAAGGTACGTTTCCACATGTGAAAAGGTTACCCTGTCAAATTTTGAGAAAAGGATTATTGGGGATATGCTAAGCTTGGATTTACTTAATACAAACATGAATGTTGAAAAGAACACAGGATTCATCTAATGTTCCACTTTAATTCAAACATTTTGGTCAATGTAAGGCCATTTCAATACGTAAATAAAATGTTATAGGACTATTCCCACAAAGTCCTTAAAAGAGAACAGCACAAGAAAAAAACTTGACAATAAGAGTACAATTCTCAGGGATGCACCTTAGAAAGAGAAATATCTATTGGGGATAGTAAGGCCAACAGAGCAATGTTCACATTAGAAAAGGTAATCTGATTCAGCTTGATCAAAAGGGAATCCTAATCTTAAATCATCAAGTAGGAGAAAAGGAAAGACTCAAGAGCCCCAGAAAACTGCTCAGCCCCAATCCCCTGGAATTCACCTGATTATTTATAAAATAAAAAACTGCCTGCATGAAATTAGGAGTTTTGGGGAACAGTGCTATTTAAGCATCGGGGTTCCTAAGACCAGAAGCCACCGAGAATGGTACTGTATTCTCTGCTGCCTAAGAAACACTGAGGGTTTTCTGAAATGGACTGAAGTCAATTCAATAACTACGCATTGAGAACTCACCAGGTGCTAGAACTGTGCTGGAGATTACAATCTTTGCCTTCAAATAATTCAATGGGGACGAAAGACATAAAGACACGTAACAGCTACAGTGAATACGCAAAGCAGTATAAAACTTTAAGGAAAAAAAATGGTTCAGATAGTCCCAGCTATGGAGCAAAGGTTAGAGAGGAGAGAAGAGATTAGTTGTGGACAGAACTCACTAAAGAAGGTGCCCCTGAAGGCAGGACAAAGTATTCTAGGCAGAAAGCAAAGGACGGACAAAGGCTCAGATATTGACATGAGTATGGCATGTTAAAAAACAGTAAAGTTTTTTGGATAGACTAGAAAGATCAATTTGAAAGTAAGAGAAATAAGACAGAATAGGTAGACTTAAGAAACTAAGACAAGTTACAGATGCTTTTTGAGCAACAGACCAATAAGTCTCCAAAAAATAAAAAAAATAAAAATAGCATCCAGAGAGGTCTGCTCCTAAATCCAACACATAATTCTGATCATAGCATTGCCCATAAGACACGCTATGCAAATTTTTGCTTCTCCTTCCACATTTAACAAGTCACGAAACCAAGCAGCTCACAGCCCCACTCAGTCCAAATGGCAAGATATTCTCTTTCTGACAGACTCTCCCCACTAGCTCTCTGTTTGCCATAGCACAGTATTAGCATTATTCAAACACAAGTGAAACCACAAAACCACAGACCTCTCTGGCTGGTCTGAGTCCTGACCATACAGTCTCTTGCACAGAACAGCCAGCCTATCCCCTCAGCTGATATCACGGTCCTAAAGGATCTCCTTTGAAAAAAGACTCTTCAGTAATTTCTCTCTGCATTTGCCTGACAAATAGACAATCTTTTAAAAGGTGCTCCAAAGACTACAAGGTATCAGGTCTCTATTTCATAAAGAGAACACAAATGAAACTAGAAACTGAGTGCTGACATAACGTGTGTGTGTGTGTTTATACACATACATTTTTAAATTAGTTCCTAGGCATCTACATGGACCTCAATAACCTATAAGAAATTCAGAATAAAAGATAATCTCTACCTGCAAAGAGTTTAAAATTGGGAATGTAAGACATATTCCTGAGATATTTAAATAACACAAGGCTGTGAGCGTGTGACATAAATATATTCGAATGCCTAAATAAACAATCTAATCATTAAGTGATATACTATTTAGAGGAAGCCCCATTAACTCCCTTGCTGTTTCT